GCTTTCGGGCTCTTGCGGGAGTCCATCTTCAGAGATAAACCGTCAACGAAAACCGAGCAACAGTTATAGTAGTAGTAGTTGTTGTAGTATACTCGCGATATGCTTTTTGAGGCTAATAGTTAACCTCAGATACAATAGACAATTTCTTGCCTACAAATATACGTAAGAAAGCTGGGTCTATGGTCCCTAATAGCTGCTAAGGGCCTACCCAACCCAACCGACCGTGTCTTACAAGTGAATTTAAGTGTTAAATTTTGCATGTGAGTTCGAAAAGTGAAGCACTCTATCCTTATATTTGGGGATACTTAATTCTCTCGTTGTCTTTTACCGGTATAGCCGTAAGGGCCTCAGTAGTTTCCTCTGGCGTCAGTGCATTTATTCATAGTTGACTTGAATACCTTATTGTGCTCAAAAGACGTTTTGCTCAGCAACTCCTGCTGAGTTTATCAGCTGTCGTTTTCAGTGATGACAGTGCCTCAAATGTAAAAGCCAACGAGAGTGCGTTACATCTGTGACATCCAGATGTACTTTATTCAAAACACGCTGGCTTTTTAACTTGTAAGCCATTATCCTCTAGTTTTCTGCGCCGAAATTTAGCTAGTAATCTCTTTCTGATGGGCTATGCCACCCTGTAAGCAGAATTACGTTACTTTGACTTGATCAATTTGACCAATAAGTCGACTTTGCGTGCAGTACAGAAACTGTAAGAATACTACTCTTTTTTACTAGAAACTCTGGAACTCTCCTATTATATCTCAAGTAGAATCTCAATTATTTCACGCTTAATTACAGACAGGATTGGAGGTAAGCCAGGGAAGGACCTATAAAGGAAGAGTTTGGACGGTATTGGGAGGTAAAAACGGATATAAAATTACCTAATCAAGCGTTTGGTGCAGGTAATATATTTTTCCGGGCTTTTGGAGGGTCGAGGATCTTCACCGGCTTGTGCTCTTTTCACCATTGAAACTCACTGATAGTGCCGTCAGAACTATCTTCGAAGGGAGAGCAAAGGGCTAATCATGCGCCGGGAAATGGTGGACATATCGATACACACATGGTCATTAAGTTTTTTTCCTTCCCATAGTAACGAAATAACTAAGTGCTTTTGAATCGAAATTCAAGGGAGATAGCTTATACAACCACCCGTGGGAGGACGTGCGTGTTTCACTTTGTCTAAAATGCAAATTTCGGATCGATTGGAAACCAAGGTGTTTAAGGTATGACGAAGTCTGCTTTGCCGCAAAATATTGGGACGACTTCTGGATGAAGTAACAAGAATTTGAACGAAATAAATGTTACTTTGCAAAGTCATGATGAAACATAGGAGATTGATCCAACTAAGGAGGTTATAAGCTTACTAACGGCGATGTGTCACGCAAGTAACTTGTGTCATACCTGGTATCTAGGCAAGGGTTAAAATCCTCTTGAGTACTGGGGACAATAGCCCAAGTTTTCCTTCGGGTGCTACAACATTTTCTCGAACTATATTACTGGATTATCCTCGGCATTACCGCGTTAAGACATGGTAATGCAGGAACCGGTTCTCTAGTCGTGCATTTGTAGTAGAACGAGAAATAAGGGTATTGGCCATTGCGGACTTTTCAGTCTGCGCCAATGGTCGGCATGTTGTTATAATACCCACCGTTAATGCAACTTCTGGTGCTGCATAGAGGAATCAAAATCACCAATTCTGAAGTCTCTAATTCCAGTTATGTCTGAGAGAAACGGATGCAATCATTAAAAGAGCCACACCTGGTTCTGGGGCCATAGGTTCCCGATCCGTGCTCTAGCCCCTCATGGCAAGCAAAACCTTGGTGCAAGTTGAAGTTTAATCTTGCACAAAAGTGTGGAAAATCAGTTTGATTTTAAAAAGAGAGTTATTTTTAATGGTATGTGGTTTCAAAGAATCTCCTTTTTGCCAATACAACCGAAAATCCGTGTCCCAGGAAGCAATTGAGAGTCTTCTTCTTCTCAATCTCCTTTTTGGCTAACCGAAGGAAAGTTTGAAGGCTAGAGTTAGGCAACGTTCTCCTTCATAAGATGCTGTTAGGGCACCATTTGGTTTAACCTGTTTAAGTTCATAAGTCAGCTAATTTTATCAGTTGCAAGCAACAGAACACCCTTAAAAGCAAATTTAATTATATCATGTCCATGTAGATATTAAAGCTGTTGTCATGAGTATGTCCAAGAATGCAGGAGTTGCGCGTCCAAGATATCTAATGAAAATTTTGCATCAAGTGTATTTTGTCTTAAATTGGATGTTCGGGTATTTGCACCTGTTATGGCTGCAATCAAGAGTGATCTAGCCGGCCTCGATGATGTCCCGGATGGTAATTCTCCACAGATTACTATCCGTGGTAGCAAATCCGGACAGTTCAATCCATTATCTTCGCCAACGCCGGAGGCTGAACACCGAAGGTGCAAGAAACACTTCCATGTCCCGACGGACTGAATCGAACCAGTTTTTGAGCTGACCCCTCTTCGACGTCTCCATTGGGGTAACGGCGTCGGATCGAGGGCAGTAACACTGATCTCATGAGGTTGACGACCAATATCGTATCCAAACCGTCTCA